CTCCTCCGAGGGCTCCAGGACTCCCTGCCCAGGGTTTGCAGCAGAGCTGGTGGGGTGGGCGGAACTACCCCTGAGCTGGGATCGGACCTCCAGGTCCAGCCCCCAGCCTGGGACTTTCCTCATCCGATAAAGTTTATGGGTTTATGGAGCAGCACGGAGTGCAGGTTAGGGACCCAGATTCTGGAACCACAGTTCTGGTGGTACCAGTACTCTTCTGCTGTGCAACTGACATGTGATCCTGCGTATGTTGCTTCACGTCTCCAAGCCTCCGTGTTATCATCTGAGAAATGGGGATAACAATAGTAATTTTCTCTTAGAGTTGTTATAAAGAGTACCCAAGCCCATGAATATAAAGTGCTCTGCACAATGTGGGCCACGTGGTAATTGCTGAAAAGATGTTAGCTGTTATTAGCAGTGTTTTTACTATGGGTTAGGTGCTGGGCATAGATGGATGAATTTTATAGGGTGTCTGCCCTCCAGGAAGTGGCCATCTCAAATAGGGCAGAAGCAACAGCATTGCATGGTGTAACTGGGACAATCGGCCTGAAGGGAAGCTGGGCTTGGGGCTGAGCTAGGGGAGATGATGCCTGAGCGGGGGGTTCGAAAGATGAACAGAAGCCCTGGAGCGGGGTACAGACACACATCCCCCATGAAAAGAAGGCCGTGCCGGGGTCTGGCCACACTGAAGCCTCCCCTGGAAGGTCATGGGGCTGGCATAGCCAGGAACAGATTGGGAGAAGACAGACTTTCTTCTGTAGGTGACAGGGTTTATCCCCCCCCCCCCAAATTTTATTTATTTGACAGAGAGAGACAGAGAGGGAGCACAGCTGAAGGAGCAGTAGACAGAGGGCGAAGCAGGCTCCCTGCGGAGCAGGGAGCCCCATGCAGACTGGATCCCAGGACCCCAGGATCATGACCTGAGCCGAAGGCAGATGCTTAACCAACAGAGCCACCCAGGTGCCCCAGGGATGTTATTTAAATATAATATTTGTTGTAGTTTTTCCCCTTCCTCAGAAAGTAAAACCTCTTCACTGGGAAACCTGGCCAGCTTGGTCACTAAAGCATGTGACTCTCAATCTTGGGGTTGTGAGTTCAAACCCCACGTTAGGCCTAGAGCTTACTTAAAATCTTTTTAAAAATTTAAAAGTGAAGAGGATAGAAAATAGGGGCACCTGGGTGGCTCAGTGGGTTAAAGCCTCTGCCTTCGGCTCAGGTCATGATCTCAGGGTCTTGGGATTGAGCCCTGCATCGGGCTCTCTGCTCAGCGGGGAGCCTGCTTCCTCCCTCTCTCTCTGCCTGCCTCTCTGCCTACTTGTGATCTCTGTCTGTCAAATAAATAAATAAAATCTTAAAAAGAATAGAAAATAAAACATGTTCACATTGTTTAAAAGTTTGGAGACTTGGAAAAAGGCAGAAAGATGTCAAAATTCTCTGTATTCCTATTCCCCGGAGGAAATCACCAGTAACATCTTGGTACGAATCCTTTATACCTCCTAACCTTTAAGATTTTTTTCAAAATGAGAGCGAAGCATATTCAGTGAAGAGTTTTAAGGAGGGAGAGCTGTGGCCAGGATTGTGTCTGGAAGGATCCTTGCAGCTGCAGCTGGTGTAGTGGGGGACAACTGACCAATCTGGGAGACCTCCAGGGACACCACAGCGACTGATGCCTGTGCTGACAAGGCCGGGGTGGGAGGTGGGGAATGGCTTGTTGGGGGAGGGCTGGTTGGGGAGAGCCAGGTGGGGTGGACAGGATGTGGGGATGATAAGGACAGCCTTCACCTTGCTCTCGTCAACTTGGAGACAGTGCTGTGATGAGCATTCCAGGGGAGAAGGCCGGGAGCCCGGGTTCCAATGAGTCAGCCTGTGCCTCGCACGCTGAGCATCTGCTTTGTGTGAGAGGGAGGGAGTAGCTGCTCTTTTTCCTCCCCAGGCCCTATGGTAGAGGGGATGGTGCCAGAGGAGATGAGGAGAGCATTTTAGACGGAAGATGCGGAGCTGGCAGGACGCTGCCCCTGAGAGCGGCTCTGTCCCTGTGGGAGCCCTGCCAGCTCTGCCCCTTGCCCAGTTCCCCTGGGCTCCAGTGACTCTGGGCAACAGGCAGGGTGAGTGGTTCTAATGGGCAGCCATTGCTGAGACCCATTGGCACAGAGGAGGGCTCGCAAGCCCGAGGATGCGGAGGGAGCCAGGCTGAGAGCTGTCTCTGGGTACAGAGCCCTCCCCACCCGGTAAACCAGATGTGCTCTTTCTTTGCCCAGAAATGCTGATCTCAGCCTAGGACCAACCTTCCTTCTGGCCTGGCCCTCCCTCCAGAGCACTGGACCTGGGCTCTTCCGAATCCTTGTTTCTCAGGGGGAGGATGTGATCGCTGGGTAGCAGAGCCAGGACAGAACCAGGCCTCCTGGTTCCTGACAAGACCCTTGTGCCTTTATGGGACCATTTGTCACAACTGCTGATAAGCTTGCTTGGGTGCCTAAGTGGATGCCACCGCATTGGACGGCATGACTCACACTTGCCAACGAACTCCTTTTCAGCTTATAGATGGTGCCTGCCCACACCCGACCCCAGGGGCCCCTAAATGTGGCCCTGGGCTCTGCCCCCATGCTGCCTGCAGGACCCCGTCACCCTTCTCCGAGGGCCACCTCAGGCAGGTTCTCTTCTTACCCCACTGGTCTCTTTCCTCCCCAGGACGGGGAGCGGGGAGCTCTCCCTTTTCCACAGGCAGGGGCTCCTCATGAGGCCTCTCCCTGACTGTTGCCTGCTCCTCCACCCAGAGTCCTTGGTCTCGTCTTCTGCTACAATAGCTTTTATTAGGGGAGTGTTTTCTGGACCTGAGTCACCCTGAGGGCAACACCTTTAAGCTCCAAGAAGTTTCAGGAGATAGGTGCTGAGTGCCCGAAGGTCACGGTCTGTTGGTAAGGGGAGTGTGGGCACTGTGTGGCCCCGGGCCCTCTCTTTCCCTCATCTCCCTCTCTGGCTGGCTGTTCCCACTCCCCTGAGAGTGAGCTGCTTGGACATGTCGAGGCCGGGGGGTAGGGGGCAGGCATGGGCAGAGTGTAGGGTTAGGAGAGAGAGAAAGAGGAGGTGGACAGAAGGAGATAGATGCACAGAAACACAGACGAAAGCAAGACAGAGCAGAGCTGGTGCCTCGAGCCCTTCATGGGGAGAGGTTTGCTGCTCTGTCTGCCCTTCTCTGCCTCCCCAGCTCTGCCTCTTGCCCTCTCTCTCTGTGTGGAAGACACAAGAAGGCCAAGCCTGAGGGAGGGCCTTGGCGCCCAAGTGTGAAAACTGGGGGCTGCTCACAGAAGTGGGCCTAGTTAACCTCATTTCTGGATAAAACCCATCTGGCATTGGGCGAGCTGCCTTGAAATGTCCTTGTTTCCTACGCACACCCAGTGTGCACGGTTCCTCACCACGTGGGCCTGTGTACACGTGCTCACAGACGGGACTTGTACCGCTGCACGCATGCGTGCTCTAGGATGTGTGCTCGTAGGTGGGCGTGTGTGCACTCAGGGCTCTCAGGAAAGCACATGCAGGTACAGCTGTGGCCACGGCATGATCTGCCCGGGTACGATGCCCACGGCCTGCTTGGCCTTGGCCTTTTCTCGGCCTTTGCCCAGGAGGCCGTGTTGACAAAGGCCCTTGTCCCTGCCTGTTCCTCTGATGCTTGTCAACTTCCAGGGGAGCCCTGGGCTTTCAGAGCACTGCTAGACATCCTCCCTTATGCTTGTGGCTGTCCCATGTGGGAGCCCTCTGCTGCAGGAGCCCTGGGCCCTCTTCTCCAAACCGGACGGGTGCTGGCCCCTTGCCACCCCCACCCCACAGTGTGGCCTCTGCCTCCCATCCCACGCTCGTTGGATGGGTGTGACTCAGGATGAAGGGCGCGGCTGCACGTGGCTCCTTGTGGCCCTTGACCCCTGGCTTCCAGAGTCCCATGCAGGGGAGGCCGGCAGCTGGGTCCTTGGCGCTTCCAGGTTGCAGTCCCAAGAAGCCGTCTCCCGGCCCGCCTGACGGATCTTCCACCTGGAGAGCCCTGGGAGCTCTATGCTGGTTGTTGGCAGCCGCCTCTGCCCCATGAGGGCTAGTGGGGAAACCAGAGGGAGTAAGGCTGGGTGTGAGATGCTCTGCCTCCGACCACAGTATGGTGGTGGGCCCTGGGGAGGTCCCTGTGGCCAGAGCAGGGTGAGGAGCTGTCTCCAGACACCTCAGGTCTTGGAGACTGTGTGCTGGAGCCAGAAGAGAGGTCTGTACTAGGCGTCGGGAAACCCGGGTTCTGAGATGCTGGGACCCGGGGTGGGTCACCTCTTGTCTCTGGCCTGTCTGGCCTGTCCCGCACCAACAGGGGGCTGGGCCAGATGATCTCAGAGGGCCTTCTCAGGATCCTCTGAATGTGAGGATTTGCAGCTGGACCGTGGTAACTGAGGAAACCATCGACACTGGGAGGGACAATGGTCCCCTTTTCTCTCAGGGCACCATCGGATCCCTACAGGAAAGTCAGACCTCAAGTGAAAAACTGTCCCTGTGCAGTGGAAGAGAGCCCCTGCCCCTCGCCCCACTTACAGGGTGGCAGGTGGCAGGGGAGGGGACTGCCAAGGGAAGGACCCTGGCAGAGGGAGAGAGTGGCATTTCTGGGACCCTTAAGGCAAAGGTGTGACAATCACTGTTCCCTGGGTCCTTTAGACATCTGTCCTAATGGTCAGGCCAGGGCAATGGAGAGATGGAGCCTCACCTCCAGCGCTCCTAAAGCCAGCCCTGAGTGGGCCCAGGCCTTGAGCTCCCTGTAGTGAAGATACAGGAATCCTGTCCTCCAGTGGGAGGCCATTGAGCTTAGAGAACCTGAGCAATCAAAGAGAATTGCCCAGTGCCTCTGGTCACATGATGAGGCCTGCAGAGTGCTGGGACCACATGGGCTGAGGCTGGGCATCCCACTAAAATCCCCATCTCTCCTTCTCTCCTCCTGCTCCATTTCCCATGGCCTGTTGCCACTGCGTCCTGATCCCCAGGAGGTGGAGGTGAGTACTTCCTGGGGCGGGGCGGGGGGGTGTCCATTGTGTATGGTCTCTGTGCAACCCCACACCCCACCCTCCTCTCCTCTCCCTCTGTGCCCTCTCCCTGACTTCTTCCCTGCAGCACCCAGCATGGGATGGAGGAGTAAGGAACATATGGGAGAGGCTGGAAGGGATTCTGGATAAGAGCTTAGGGGGATAGAGTTCTGGGGGAGGCAGCTGGCAAAGCCTAGGGGACCAGGGGTCATCTGAGCAGCCATTGGGGTGATGGCAGTTAGCATGTTAGCCCTGGAGTTGAGCCTTGGCTCTAGGATGTGAATCTTAGCCCTTCCCTTCTTCCTTGCCCCTCTGTCCTTTCTTAGGATGACTACATCAAGAGCTGGGAGGACAATCAGCAAGGAGATGAAGGTAACGTGTCCCTCCCAGGGGAGACAATAGGACTGACACCCGTGAGCACTTGAGACCCACCAAGGGCACATGCCAGCCATGGGCTTGGGGGCTTTGTGGGAGCCAGACCCTGATGGGAGTGGGGCTTTTTTGCTGAGGAGCTCTGGCCCTCAGGCCTACTACAGAGAGGAACTCACAAGTGGGGCTGGGGGTTCCTGGGCTTGTTGGCACTGATTTCCGGGTGACCTGTGTCCTGGCAGCCCTGGACACCACCAAGGACCCTTGCCAGAAGGTGAAGTGCAGCCGTCACAAGGTGTGCATCGCCCAGGGCTACCAGCGGGCCATGTGCATCAGCCGCAAGAAGCTGGAGCATAGGTGAGGGGCCTGGGGAGTCGGGGGGAGATTCTGGGGGTGTGGCTTAAACAGTGAGGGCTTGCCTGATCGTCTCCTCTGTGGCAGCTATCTATTGCAAAACAACCTGCCCCCAAACCTTCTGCTTAAGGCAACAAATGTATTATCTTCCACAGTTTCCGAGGGTCAGGAATCTAGAAGTGGTTCTGTTGGATGATTCTGGCTAGGGTTTGCCAGGAGGTTACAGTCAAGGTGCTGACTGGGGCCGCATCATCTGAAAGCTGGATTGGGGCTGGAGGATCCACTTCCAAGCCCACTCACATAGCTGTTGGTTCTGGTCACCTCTGTGGTCTCTCTCCATAGGGACGCTTGAGTGTCCTTACAACATGGGAGCTGACCTCCCCTCGGTGAGGCAGCCGAAGGAGAGAGAGAACAAGGAGGAAGCCACAATGTCACTTTCGATCTAGTCTCAGAAATCATACGTTGTTACTTCTGCCCCTTCTCTTTGTTAGGAGCGAGTCTCTAGGGGAAGGAAAGTACACTCCATCTTTCGAAGGGAGGAGTGTCAAAGAATCTGTAGACATGTTCTAAGACCCCCACACTCTAGGAGATCCATCACCAAGCAGTGTGGGACTCAGGGAAAGGCATCTCTCCTCTCTGGGACTCGGTGTCCATATCCATAAGACAAATAGGTTGGCCCAGATAGTCTGAGATTGTTTCTGGCTCCAACATGCCACAACTTAATAAAATATTTAAGGTTCTAGCTTCTGAGGCTTGCAGAGGAGGGAAAGGTATTAGCTCCATCCCAAGGACAAGACCTGCCAGCATCCAAGATTTCTGGGCAAAGGTCCCATCTCCCTCCCCTCTCTCCAGGAATCCATGTTTCCATGTGAACTCTTCCATTTTGTAAATGTTGGTGAATGACTCAAAAACAAACACCTTTGGCGGCCAAACAAAATGAGTCTCCGGGCCAGATGTGGCCCATGGGCTGTCAGTTTGCAACCTCTGATTTGGTGTGACCCTTTATGCGAGGTGCAACTCCTTTTTAAATCTGGCAGTCAGACCTGGAGTTGCTGCCTGAAGGCCCTGCTGGGCTCAGTAACCACAGGAAAGGGCAAGCTACCAATACCTACCGTTCCTCACCCTGCCTAGTTGGGCCATGCACCCTTAGGGGCCGGAGGAGGGTCTGGCTGGGGCTGATGGGGAGGGTGGGCAGGGGTAGGGAGGAGGCTGCAGGTGCTGTGATCACTGGGACCAGCTTCCTCTTGGAACCAGTCTCTCGAACCTTCTTCCCTTTGGGTATCCCTCTCTCATTTTCGCCTCCACTCCATGCCCTCCCCATCTCTGTCCTGTAGGATCAAGCAGCCTGCCCTGAAGCTCTCTGGAAACAAAGACACCGTCTGCAAGCCCTGTCACATGGCCCCGCTGGCCTCAGTCTGCGGCTCCGATGGCCACACTTACAGCTCGGTGGTGAGGAGTTCTGGCCCCAGGTGGGGGGCGGGAAAGGCTGGCGGGGGGCTGGCTTGACACCCAAAGCCACGGGGAGCAGAGAGGACAATGCAACCAGGGTCCCCTGAGGTCTCCCAATGCTGACACAGGGCCTGGTGTCCTCAGTCAGTGCATGTGGTGTGGCCGGCCAGAAGGGACACCTGAGCCCCAGGCTTGGGCTCCATAAGAGTAGGAGCCAGACCCAGCTTCTGGCCTGATGTGGGTGCAGGTGTGCAGGGAACTGTGAGTCAGAGTAAGTGAGGTAAGATCCTCCAGAAAGTACCCAGGGCTCTGAAAGGCAGGAGCCATGTCACCCAGTTGTCGGGGGTGGAGGGTGACGGATGGAGCTTTCCGCAGGGAGATTTCCACCCTGAGGGGATGGTGTTCACCAGCCAGCACCAGGCATTTTGGGGCAGGAGAAAATAATCCCCCAGGAGACAGCCATGTGGGAGGGAATGGTGGCTGTGGGAAGTGAAGCCCTACTGGATGGGATTCTTAAGAAGGTTAAATGAGACATTCGTGAAAGCATTTTATAAACTCCAAAGGACCACAGAAATGCAGGTGCTAATTGTGAAGACTTCTGCTAGCTACCAGGAGTTGGGAGTTGCTTGGTTTTTGGAGGACACTGTCCACTGGGGTTGGGTTCTAGGGCTTAGGGACACTTTCGGGGCAACATGCAGATTGATGAGTCACAGAGTCACAGGCTTGGGGAAGGGGTGAGGTCACTGGAAGAGGAGAGAGACTGTGCCAGAGGCTGAGGGCAGAAGCTGTACTGGGGAGGCAGGAGGGAGAGGGAAGGGGAGAAAAGTGCTGTCACACAGCCCAAGGCGGAGTGAGATCTGGGCAGGAAGCTGTGTTCTGGGGGTCACGGAGCTGTTCTGCAGGGACATAGGGCTCCTCAGGAGATCTGGCTTCTATCCCAGCCCTGTGGCCTCGGGCAAGTCACCGGGCCTCTCTGAGCTTCCGTGTTCTCTGCCGAGCAGCCAGGAGCCAAGGGAGATACTATGAAATAGTACGACCCCTTCTCATTTACTGTCATCCCATGGGGATGAACCATACGGGACCAGGAAAAACACTCAAATGGCGGGGAGTGGGTGAGACCCTCTCCCAGGCTGCCTTCAGCAAACAGCTGTGGCCGAGGGTTTTCAGTAAAGGCAGGGAAATGAGCAGATGTGAGCAGAGAGCCAGCGGCTGTTACCCAGAGAGCTGGGTGAGGCCCATCGGAGTTAAGACCACTGAGGGAGGGGCTGGCCGCCAGTTCCCTGGGGGCCGAGGGACTGTGGTAAGAAGGAAGTTGGGCCAGAGGGCCAGGACTGGGGTGGGGAGCAATGGGCAGCTAAATAGGAGAAGCGGGTGGGTTGGGGTGAGGGCGTGGGGAGACTCGTGTCCTGGGAAAGTACATGTGCAGAGACATTAAGCTAGGGCAGACCAGGTTTCGTGGGAGCCCCTGAATCCCTGGGAACCCCTTTCCAGCCCTGCTGTCCCCCGCAGTGCTATGTACCTTTGGCCTCCCCAGGGGGACCAGGAGGGCTAGCCCCCCAGGCTATTGGTGGCTGCTGTCCCTCCTGTCAGATGTGGCTGCCTGGTGGGCTCGAAGTACCCCAGCTCCAAGGACCCATCTGTGAGCACCCCCCAGTCACACAACGCGACCTTTCTTCTCATGCAGTGCAAGCTGGAGCAGCAGGCCTGCCTGAGCAGCAAGCAGCTGACTGTGCGATGCGAGGGCCCCTGCCCCTGCCCCACAGAGCAGGCCTCCCCCTCCACCACCGACGGCAAGCCAGGTAACGTGGAGCCCCGGGCTCCAGCCGGGTCGGGGGAGGCCTCCCTGCCAGCATCTCCTGGGGCACCTCCTTCAGGGCTCTGGGGTGCTGAGAGAGGTTCACAGAGCCAGAAGGGAGATGGCAAAAACAGGGACAAGCCTGAGGACCCATGGGGCTGGGGGGGGTGTGCCTCAGGTATAGGGGGCACGCCATGTGTGGTCTGAGGGCTAGGGACTAAGGGGGCAGGAAGATGGGAGACAGTGGGTGGGGACCTTTAATTTCTCACTCCCCTTGCCTCTTGACCACTGCCTGGCGTCTGGCCTGTGAGACGGCATCCCAAGCTGAGGCCATGCTGTGCTTCGACCTACCTTCACCCGCACCCCTTTCTCCCCATTCTTCCGACTGTAGAGACCTGCACAGGTCAAGACCTGGCTGACCTGGGGGACCGGCTGCGGGACTGGTTCCAGCTCCTTCATGAGAACGCCAAGCAAAATGGCTCGGCCGGCAGTGGGGCCAACCTGGCCGGTGGTACAGAAGCTACTTGCTCTGCCTGGGACGGGGGAGGGCGATGGGGAAACAGGAGTGCCCTGGGCCAGCCTGCCTGGTGTTCCCTCCTGCCAGACTCTGAGCCTCGAAAAGGGCCTAAACCCAGAACAAGGAGAAGGAGGCTTCAACTAGACAGGAGGGGTTTGGGTTAGCTATTGGAAGAACTTCTAGAAGTGGGTGGAAGGAGCTTAAAGCCTAAAATGGGTAGCCAAGAGAAGGCAAGAAATTATCTTCCCCGAAGGGCTTTCTTTCCAAACAGGGTTCTGAATAGCTTAAGTGCAGTCCTGTGTGGAGGCAGATGGACTCTCCTTCAGCTGTTCTTGAGTTTCTCACTCCCATGGTTATGTTCTGAGCTGCCCTGACCCTGACCCTGAACAGATGGAGAGGTGGAGGGATGGGTGGACAGATGGATGGAGTGGTTTACCTTGAGCACGCCTGAACCTGGCCTTCTCCCCAGGGCTGGACAAGAGCTTGGGGGCCAGCTGCAAGGACTCCATTGGCTGGATGTTCTCCAAGCTGGACACCAGTGCTGACCTCTTCCTGGACCAGACAGAGCTGGCCGCCATCAACCTGGACAAGTATGAGGTCTGCATCCGCCCTTTCTTCAATTCCTGCGACACCTACAAGGACGGCCGGGTCTCCACTGCTGAGTGGTGCTTCTGCTTCTGGAGGGAGAGTGAGTGTAGCCCCTGGCTGGTCCCCCACCCCTCACTGCACCCCCCCCCCCCCGCCCCCCCCCCCCCCCGCCCCCCCCCCCACCCCCGCCCCCAGCCCACCTGCTTCCTGCCCGCTCCAGCACCTCATCTGTTGGAACCCGGGGAAGCCAGCACGTTAAATCTGTTCCTTGGCAAGCACCTCAGTGATCCAGATTTGTGGGTCCTGAAGCATATGCATGTTGGGAAAGTAAAAACTACAAATGTAAAATTTCTAGGGCCCCTTGGGGCCTTGGAGAGGGCTCCTGGGCTCTACGGCTGAAGCTATACTGGCTTCTCGATGATTCCTCTTCTGGACACGTCTCACATTATTTACCCCAAATCTGTGCTCATCAACCTTAGAGATAGGACATCGTTTGCTAGCTTTCTATATCCTGAACCAGAGCTGGGCGTGTGCTCAGAGATCACCTCAGCCAGGTGGCCACTGTCATCAGTGGGGAAGCTGAGGTCCCTGGGGGGCAGCCGACAGGTCCGCCCGGAGGTAGGGGAGGTCCTGGTGCTCCGTGTCCAGCGTCCTGCCTGGTTCCCACCGCCGGCGTGTGTTGGAGGCACTATGGTGTTCGCGGCCGAGGCCCAGCCTTCCACTGGGGCTCCACTGTATCGGGCTGGTTTGGGACCCTGGGCAAGGCACTGACTCTTCAAGTTCGGTTTCTTCATCCTGCTGTGAGGGTGACCAGAGAAAATCTGGGCGCAGAGCGTGGGTCAGTCACAAATCCATCTGCCAGCATGTGGCATCTTGGTCAGTTTTAGGGACCCCGCCTGCCCCGCCTTCTGGCACTTTCACCATCCAGGCCTCTGAAGCTCATTCTGTCCATTCTGTACAGCAGCCTCCTTGGGCAGGAGGCGGGGGGCTGACCTCATTTTTACCATCAGCCAGGCCTCTTGCTGGGAAGGGCTAGGGACTTCTCAAGGTGACAAGCAATTAGATTTGGCTGCAACTACATCTGGGCGGCTGCTTTTTTTTCTTTTTTTTTTTTTTTAAGTAGGCTACGTGCCCAACATGGAGCCCAACATGGGCCTTGAACTCATGACCCTGAGATCAAGCCCTGAGCTGAGACCAAGAGTTGGGCGCTTAACCGACTGAGCCACCTAGGCGCCCCTAGTTTTGAGCTTCTGTCTAACCTTCCCTCTGGTCTCATGTTTCCCCTTGAGCCTCTCCCCTGGGGAATCCACTCTGCCTCTTCTTCTGGATCCTGCATCCTTATCCCATGAGTTCCCAACATTCTCAGGGGCCCTGGGCTTCTCAGGGCACCTCAGCCCCTGCCACAGCCATGGAATGGCCTCCCCCGGTTGGAGCTTTTTTTTTCCCCTCCTCTAATCTTGCAGAGCCCCTATGTCAGTTTTTGGGAACTTGGAGGGATCCATGCTCCCCACTACCACCGTGGGGCTTCCCCAAGTCAAAGCCTGGGTATTTGTGTCTTGCAAAGCCTACTGCTAGGTTGCCAAGCCTTGGGGGCCCGTCTGTGAGTCTTACCAGCACCACGGGATGGCCCCCGTCAGAGGCTGCTTCTCTCCACACAGAGCCTCCCTGCCTGGCGGAGCTGGAGCGCATCCAGATCCAAGAGGCTTCCAAGAAGAAGCCAGGTGAGGGGGCTGGCTGGACTGGGCTGGGCTTGGAGGAGGCAGGGGAGGGGTGCCCCAGGGTCTGCCGGAGGCCCAGAGGCTCCAGCCCCTGGGCCTTACAGGAGAGCTGAGCCCAGAGAAATCCCTGTCCTAGGAAAACAGGAAGGAGAACTCCCCTCCTGTTCTTATCCTCGTGGTGGGACAGGGTCTCCCAAGTAGCTCCTCCATTCTGGGACTGGAGGATGGGAAAACAGAAGGTTCCTAGAACCCTCCATTCAACTCACTCCGGCAGGGGTGGCGGTGGGGGGTACGTGCAAAACTCAAGTGAGCCCCCTCCATAGCAGACGCTCACATCTGCAAGCAAATACCCGGTGCCAACCCCAGAGGGAACAGTAGACGCGGCCCAGGTCAGGGCAAGACAGACTTGGTCCCTGGTCTCAGAAGGCACACAGGCTACTTGGGAAAACACAACACATGGGTTGACACACCAAAAAGCCAGAACTACACATGATGGCTTGTGTAGGTATAGCGCTGAGGGAGAGCACCGTGGGTAGAAGGTAGCCTGCGCATCTGCGAAGGCCTCTTGGGGAAGCTGGTGTTCCAAGGGAGACCTGAGAGGTGAGGATGAGCCCACCCAGGGCAGGAGAAAGCTGGAGGCTCTTGGCAAACAGAAGGAAAGGGCCCATGTGGCTGGATCATGGTGGCTGAGGGGACAGAGGGCCAAGAGGCAGAGAGCAGCCTCTTGCTGGGCCCACGAGACCAGCGTGCGTGGGACCCAATGCTGGAACCACCCTACAAAGCCTTGTTGACCAGAGCCCAGGGGCCTTCGGGATGGGCGGCAGCGCTCCTCAGGAAGCCATGCTTTTCCACCCTGGAAGCCGTCCTCTTGGGTCTGTGTTCCCTGGGCACACTCCCTGGGCCTCAGGGTGCCCGTTCGGTAGTGCCTGGAATAGTTGTTTCAATGTGTGTCACCTGCCTCCCCGAAGGGGCAGAGCCTCTGTCTGGGTCGGCGCGCTCAGGAGTCTATCGGGTGGACATAGGGGTCATAGTTCCCAGGTCTGAGGGAGCGCAGGTGGGCCCTGAGGCTGAGAGGAGAAGCCTGGGCATTGCTGACCGAGGACAGCCAGGTCCGAGGAGTGGCGGCCGGAGCCAGGGCTTTGAGCACAGTGCAATCAGGGAGGCAGGTTTTTCCAGCTCAGGCCGGTCGAGGCAGAAGAAATGCTACCATGCCGCCCTGGGCATCTGGGCTGCCTGCGCTCCGGCGGGGTCTGGACCCTTGCTCATGGCCCAGGCTCCGGGGACACATCTCTGAAGGGCTCACACTCCAGCGCCTGCTCTGACCCGGTGGGTCCTGCCGTGTTCAGGAATCTTCATCCCGAGCTGTGACGAGGACGGCTACTACAGGAAGACACAGTGTGAGCAGAGCAGCGGTGACTGCTGGTGTGTGGACCAGCTGGGCCTGGAGCTGACGGGCACTCGCACGCATGGCAGCCCCGACTGCGGTAAGGGCCAGGTGGCAGCACAGGCACCACCCCGGTACCCCATGACCTGCCCTGGGAGGGCTTCTGGGGGGCCTGGCTTGTGGTGGATCCTGCTGGCAGCAATTCGAGGAGGCCAGCGGGGTCCTAACCGGCCCCTCGGCTTGTTCCCCTCGCAGATGACATCGTGGGCTTCTCAGGGGACTTTGGGAGTGGCGTCGGCTGGGAGGACGAGGAGGAGAAGGAGACAGAGGAAGCAGGCGAGGAGGCTGAGGAGGAGGAGGGCGAGGCGGGCGAGGCGGACGACGGAGGCTACATCTGGTAGATGGCCCTCGGGGAGCCATGGCAGGCCAGGGTGCCGATGGCCGGGGGAGACGGGCCAGCAGAGACCTGGACAGAAGCAGGCAGCTTACGCATGGATCCGGAAGATACGTTGGAAGGACACTGGCTCCAGCAGGGACGACTGGGTGTGTGACTGTGCATGGCCAATGTGAGACCTGTATGGCTAGGACGTGTGAGTGTGTGTGAGTGTGGCATGCGCTGGCAAATGTGTCCTTGGTCCACACTGCTCCAGAGACCTCCTTGTTTGCTTTCCATTTAGTGTTGGTTTCAAAGTACACATATCCACACATATCCACCCACCACAAGGTCAAAGCTGATGACATGAATGCCCCCTGCCATGTCCCCCAAGCCCCCTCTGGGCCTGTCCTGACACCCTTGGGTTGCCCTGACCAGGGCTTCTTGTCTTGATTGCTATCCTTGGCTCAACCAGCGCTGCTTCCTCCTGCACTTGCCTGCCCTCTCCCACCCTTGGGTGTCTCCATTGCAGAGGGTTGGAAAGGCAGGGAGCTGCCTGCTGGCTGGGGTCCTCCCGGGGCCAGGCCAGTGTGGCTGGGACACGCCCACCGGCTTCTGATGACATGGGCTGGGACACCCACAGCAGTGAGCCCTTTCCCTGCGCCAGACTCCCCAGCACTAGACTCCCAGCCCTAAACTCTGCTCTCCTAACCCAAGCCTGTGTGAGCGAGGGTGGCCGAAGCTGAGGGGCTGGGGTGGGGCCGGAGCAGAGGGAGGAGGAAGGAAGGGTCTGCCTTTGCCGATCTGGCAGGAGCTCTCAGGAGCGGAGACTGGGTAGCCCTGAGTGCCAGACCCTTGAACAGCCTGGCCCCTTCCTGTGGGCCTCAGGTGGGGGCCTGGTCCGGACTATTCTCTTGGAGGCCGCGGGTGGGTTCCGCCGGGCCGTGTGGGGTTGCTGCACTGCCCTTGTCCCCAGGTCCACTTTGGAAGCCTGAGGATCGGGCTGCAGGTGAAGAAGCTGGGTGTCAGCCGGGGTGGGGTGGGGGCGGTGTATGTGCAACCACCTCCTCTCCCATCCAGACCTTCCTTAAGACGGGAAGCAGCAGCGGGGGAAAGCTCCACTTCCCGTGACCTTTCTCCATCTCTCCTCCAGGGGGCAGCACCAGGCCCATTTCCGTCCCCTCCCCTGCCAGCGCTGGGACCTTCTCTCTGACCCAGTGGAGGGTCCCCCGAGGCAGCTCTAGTGGAGGGGCCCGGGAATTGTGAGGTCAGAGGGGACAGGACAGGACTGGGGCCAAACATCCTGTTCTCCCAAATCTCCTAACCAGGCGGGAGCCAGGGTGGATGAGACCGAGCTCCCTGTTTTGAGTTTCTTTTTGTTTTCTTTCCTAATCTGTCCCATTCTCCCTGTTGAAGCAAATTCCTTAACACTTTGGGCAAAGAATTTCTAACCTGGACCTGGGCCTCTGCTGTCCTTCTATACCTGGTGTGTGCCGTGTGTGTTTGTGTGTGAGTCTGTGAGCGGCTGTATGTGTTTGAATGTGTGTGAGAGCCTGGGGTGTGAGGAGGGGTGCGTGTGTGGGGGCCCCCGGGGCAAGTGTCCCCAGACAGGGCTCCAGCCGTCGTCCCTTTCTGGCTTCGGCAGCATCCGCTGAGCCTGCCAGACCTTATGGAAGAAGCTCACCCCGTCTGCCTCTTTGACTGCACCCCGGAGTCAACATCTTCCCAGTCCTATGCTGGGGAAAATATTGAAACCGCAGCTAGCCCCATGAGCCGCTTCTCATCCCGCAGCACAACAGCACAGGGTAGGGTGTCGCGCTGTCCCAGACCCCCCAATATCCCGTCTCCTGGCCCCCCACCCTTCTCTGCCCTCCCACCTCCTCCCTCTGGCCCCGGCTCAGTTCAGGGAACCGCCCTTTGCTCTCTGAGCAGCCGCGATGCTTCCTGCTCTCACTAGGAATGGAGTCTGTCTGTTTCTTCCCTCTGCCCCAGCCGAGGCTTCTGGACCTGTCGCTGGGAGCGGCTGTTGAGGAGGCTGGGGAGTTCCAGGGTGGGGAGAGAGCTAGAGGAAGGGGCACCCCTCTCTCACTGTTGCCCTCCCCTACTGGGGGCACAAGCTCTCTCTGTGTCTCTGGGTCTTCTGGTTGTGCACGTTTCTTATGACCTTGTAAATATGTTGTAGAAAGAAAGCAAAAGGCGCTGAATTAGACCCTGGTGGGATTCAGGGGTCAAGCCTTGTCCTGTCTCTGAAGCCCCCACCCTGCTTTTCACCCCACTCTCTGAGACTGAGCCCCCCGCCCCCAGAGCTAGACAAAGCAACTTGTTCCCAGGGGGGCTGACAGCCTCCAACTGACTTCTTGTCAGACAAGCTACAGGCTTTCTCGTGAGCAAGTCGCAGGGCGGGCCTCCCTCGGCTCCTCGGATTCATGCCCTTGACCAAGCTGCCTGCCACCCATCTCCTCCCATGTCCTTCTGTGTGGATACCCTGTCTCCCCTGGTTTAGGCAGGCAGTGGAATTAGAGCTCTGTTGAAAAGAGCTCAGCCAAACTTGAAGAGCGGTTTCTTGCCGAGCCCCGGAGCTGACCTTGGCCGCCGGAGGCCTCCTCACCCATGGGGGCTGGGCGAGATGGGTGTGTCTAGGACGGGGAAGCTGGAGTTGGAGAGAACAAATGTGCCTTGAGAGACCACTCAGAGGTTCAGGGTGATGGGGAAGAAGGCAGGGCATTGGAGCTCAGGAAGGAGGAAAAGGAAGGCGAAGTTGATGAGGGCACCGTGGGACATCATGACGGTCCCTTATTATCCCTTTGGTGCTGTGACCGCAGGTGCTCAGCGGTCACACTTCCTTCCCCACGCCAGCCCACCTGGCGTTAATGGCCACCCCTGCGCCTTTCATGAGCTCTGTCTGCTTCCAACTTCACCTCTGAGTGCGTGGGGTCCCTTGGGACCCCCATGGGAACCCTCCATTTCACCAAAGCCTCACCTCAGCCCTTGGGGAGGACGAATGGCTTAGTCTGGCATGTCACGATGCCACCCGGCGCCGTCATTGTGAGGCTGTGGGCAGGCGGGGGTCAAGGGGAAGAGACACCGGGGGTACAAAAGGAGACTGGAGACATCCCGGGGAAGTCGCAAGCAGAGCAAACTGCTCTACAGCCTGAAGCCTACTTAAATTGTGTGATGTGCAATAACTGAGCTTAGAGTTAAGAATTGTGTTCAAGTGCTTGGATTTCCTTCTATATATTTCAGTGCTGAAATCGTATCTTTCAGTAATTTTAGATGTCCTTAAAAAATCGAAAAACAAAGTGTTAGACCGTGTATGTGCATTGATGGGCACTCAAGCGTCCCGTGAGTCACCCCACCCTGTCCCTTTCCCCTGTGCCCCCAAGCCCCTCACCCCCAGACCCCCCTTCCCCTTGGGGACCCCGCCTCGTGTTGTCTTTATCTGCCTATTACTCAGCCTAAGGAAACAAGTACACTCCACACATGCATAAAGGAAATCAAATGTTATTTTTAAGAAAACAGAAAATAAAAACTTTATAAACACCACCCTCTGGCGATGTTCTGATTACACTTCCCCTCGGTGTCATTTTTCACAAAAGTGACATTCCCAGATGCGCTCCCTGCTAGAGAGACGTGGTCGGCAGGCTACCCTTATGCACCTTCACGTATGAGACCCCAGACAGGATGGGGCTGGGAGGGGGGCCTGATCTGAGGGGAGAACCGGGAGCAACTTAGTAGGGTTTTTGGTGTCATTGCAGATCTGCGTGCGATCTCTATGTGTACATATGCCGGTAAACACGTCTACACCACAGAGCAGAGATCAAGCTCTATGTCCTGCTTTTTCCATTTAACTTACTATGTACCTTTCCCCACATTATTAAAATCATTGGAAGAGATGACTTGAATAGCTGCATAGCATTCCATGATATGGATGTATTTAGTGAATTTAATAATTTCCCAATTTTTGGACATTCAGACTGTTCTCAATTTCTTAGCACTCTCAACTCTAGCCCTAGAACTAGCTAACCATGACCTTCCGCAAGTCATCTGGCGGATGGAGAGAAGAACTCACCTCACAAAGATCCCTTTTTATAACCCGTGGAAGTGATTTCTGAACAGTGAAAGCCCTGAGTGATGTCAAGTTCACTCCCCTCCCCCTTTGCCGGCTCACAGTCAGGGCAGGCTCTGCCCGTCTGGCTAGAAAAGATCCTCAGAAAAGGGATCCTACCTTCTGGGGGTGGTTTTCTGCTCCTCCATGTTTCTCCAGCCACCTCCAGGGGCCGGCTCGGGAGTCCTGGAAGGCCATGTGAGGAAGGCCATGTCTTGTCAAGGGGCTGGCCGCTCCCAGCATTCGGAATGAGAATGTGGATGGAGACAGGGACAGAGGTCTCTGGGAACTGGGTCGCATGCTGGGCTTGTGGGAACCTGTAGTTTTAGAAATAGAGGACTATGGGCTGGGGGAGGGCTGGAGGTTGGAATCGATCCTTGGGAATGTCTTCTATCAGCCTGTCAGGGAGGTACTGTTGTTAATGCCCATTTCACAGATGAGGAAGCTAGATCTCAGAGAGTTTCGGGAGCAACCAAGGATGTACAGCTAGTGGGGGCGGAGCTGGGGTTCCTCTTGCTCCTACCATCTGACACAAAGCAGGCTGCCACCAGTGTCCAGTGACTGCTCCTCACGTGGCTCAAAGGTGGTCAGAAAAGAAGAGTCACCTGCATGGGGTAAGTTCGGGAAGACTTCCTGGAGGAATTGGCCTTCATCTTGGTCCTCTATGTGGGTAGAAATGGACCAGGGGCTTACTCCTGGCTGTACTTCAGAATCATCTGGGGGAAGTCTAGGTTCCTAGGCCCCACCTACAAAGATTCTGGTTTCTGGGGGCGCCTGGGTGGCTCAGTGGGTTAGGCCGCTGCCTTCGGCTCAGGTCATGATCTCAGGGTCCTGGGATCGAGTCCCACATCGGGCTCTCTGCTCAGCGGGAAGCCTGCTTCCCTCTCTCTCTCTCTCTGCCTGCCTCTCCGTCTACTTGTGATCTCTCTCTGTCAAATAAATAAATAAAATCTTTAAAAAAAAAAAAAAGATTCTGGTTTCATTGTTCTGAGCTGGGGCACGGACGTCAGTATATTTTAGAAGGGTCCCAGGTGACGCCAATGTGTAGCCAGATGGCTGAGCAGACAGAAGCACGTCCCTTGGTGAGGACAGGATGTACAGGTGGCCAGGGCAGAAAAAAACCTGTGAGGAGCCAGGACAGGGCCCCCTTTTCTGAGTGGTGGCAGTGTGAGGCCTGTGGGCTGGTCAAGGCCAGAAGGGCTTGCCTGTTTTATTGATTTTATTTGACATCTTGTGAAGCCCCAAACCACGTTCAGTGGGGTACCTGCTTGGTGCCGGCTCAGTGGGGTATCTGCTGAGGGTGCCCCTGTCCATCCCATGGGAACCCTCCCAGTGAGTCTCTTCAGCCTGCAGGGAAACACAGGTGTTTGCACTCCGAGATCACATCTGTTCAGGCAATGGGGCCACAGAGGCCAGGCCAGGCCCTAGTTCCTGACATCCGTCGTCACCGTGACCCAGTAACCTGGTTTCCTAGGGCAGGTGGCTCAGATGGTACTGCCGGGGACAGGCCCCAGTGCCAATGGCCATTCGGGAAGCCCCCACTGCCTCCCGCTCCTCCTGGATGGGGTCTGTCCCACCCTCTTCCTCCACTGTGGGCACCGCCTCATTCTGGCCCCTGTTTTTCCTTCACGTTTAGCCTCCTGGGGACAGGGACTGTGTATTTACTGCTCTCTGGTGAATAACCGGGGCCTGAGAATAAATCTAATAGAGGAAAGACAAACGGCACACGAACCCATATAGCCACGAAGGGGCAGAACCAGCTTACCCCATCCCTCCCCCACCCCTGCCACCTGCCTTCTGGGTCCCGGGGCCAGTGGCTGGTCCCACTCCTTTGTGAGGCCTCAGAGACCAAGAACAAATGAGCGAACAAACACAGACAATTAAAACAAAACAAAACAAAACAAAACAAACAACTAAGTTTAAAGAGCAATTTTTAAACATTTTCTTTTTGAGCCAAACGGATGAGGGAGAGGAGAAAAGCAGGAATGTTTCTGTTCCCATCGGTGTGCTTTTTCTGTCGTGTCTAATCCTGCCTACAACTCTTTGAGGCAGATGTTACAAACCCAGCCTCATTTTACTCGGGAGACAGCTATGCCCCCGGGGGCCCACCTTGGTGCATGCCACAATGTCACCCCAGGCCTGGCTGAGCATCAAGGTCAGCCCCCACATTCCACTGCTGTGCACCTGGCAATACCCCACAGGGAGATAATGAGTTCTGCAGGGATCCCTGCGTCTTCCAAGACAAGTCCTGGGTGAATGAATATGGGTGTCAGCTTGAGCGTCAGGGACGAAGTCCAGAAGGATGCTTGGTTTTTGCCTGGCTCTGCCTCCCAGCACCTTCCTTGGAGCCTCAGTTTCCCCATCTGTAAGATGACTTGGTCGCCCAGTTTCATGATTCTGCGGAAGAATGCAAAGGTATGAATCCGGAAATCAGTTTCTGTAAAGTTCAGGGTTATCCTTCTCTCTCTGGAACATTCCACAGTTGATCTAATTAACCTCAAGGGCTCACACATTTGCAAAGCAGAATTAACTATGCCTTAAAAAGAAAGCTGGAGGGACGCCTGGGTGGCTCAGTTGGTTGGACGACTGCCTTCGGCTCGGGTCATGATCCTGGGAGTCCTGGGATCGAGTCCCGCATTGGGCTCCCAGCTCCATGGGGAGTCTGCTCCTCTCTCTGACCTTCTCCTCGCTCATGCTCTCTCTCACTGTCTCTCTCTCAAATAAATAAATAAAATCTTTAAAAAAAAAAAAAGCTGGAGATGGAATATAAGTAATAGCAGCCGTCTTTTTGGAGGCTCAAATGACTGTTTCTCTTGGTGATATTTGGGGGTGCCTGATGTCCAGGCAGGAGGATGCTGCTTGAAATTTTTGGAGGCCATGGCCAGACTCTGGGGCGTGGCACTCACTCTAGTTGGGAAAACAGGCTGGCAAAGGCAAGAACTGTTCCCCTTTGGCCTGAGCATGGGACAGCCCAGGAGACCGAGGCCAGGGTTCCGTCTCTGACACTGCCCCAGCAGGTGGCTGGTGCAGACCTTGACCTCAGGCCCGCCTGGGCCAGAGCCTCCACACACGTGATTTCATCTGAGCCTAGGACATCCCTCATCATCTCATAGGTGAGGAAACCAGTCACACAACCGTCTCTGACAAGTCCTCTCACTGTCCCCACCCCCAGCAACTACGGATGGTGTGGCTGGGGCACAGGCAGCAGAGGGCACATGGCCGAGTGAGTGGACAAGCTGGGGCTACCTGGCACCCCCCGCCATGCTCTAGGCTGCCACCTGATATGACTCTGTGCAACTTCTCTAGAAGGCTGGGCAGCCGCAACGCCTCTCCTTCTGAGAGGCTTGGCTTCTAGAGAAGATGACACTGATCCAAGGAGTCAGTCTCCTGCTCCCTCCTCCCATCCCTTCCTGATTCTTGCCTTGTGCAAGGAGAAGATGGGTGGTTTCCTTCCAGACTTCCCTGAACATTTGCTTCCCTGCCCCGTGGGGGAGGAGACCGCTCCCTGCACTGAATCCTCTTGAACACATTTACAGTCAATGACATACGCCAGCGGAAACTCCACCCCAAGCAGGGCAGCCTTCCCTCCACCTCACCCCTGGCCTCCCCACTAACCCGAACCTGTGCCAGGCAGCCAGCCCCAGCCAGCCCCTCCAACATTTACTTTGCCTTGGCGGGGGGGGGGGGGGGTGTGGGGAGAGCCCAGGGCCCGGCAGTATCTACGTGAGCATCTGCTTAACAAAGTATATCTCCCCAAGGACCCCCAGAACCAGCTAGGAGGGGCCCCTCATCAGCCGAGGCAAGGCTGCCGGGCTGGGGCGGACGGCTCTTCCTGTTCACTCTCAGACCAGCTGAGGTCCTGTGTCTCAGCAGTGGGCAGACACCCAGAAAGGTGCTGGGCTCCTTCCTTGCCGTTGCTTGCTACCTGCTGCCTGGCAGGGTTGGGACTCCATCCGGCTGGGTCTCTGGTTTTGCTCCTTTTCTGTTTGCTGCACCCACACACCAGGCTCCAGAGCTTCCCTTGCTCAGGATTCAGGTGGCCGCACCAAATTTGAGTTTCTCCGACTCTGAAAATCCTGGACTCCTCAATCCCGAGGATGTTGGAGCTCATCTGGTCTACTCCTTCCCCATCCTTGGCCCATGGAGATGGGAAGTTCCACACAGCTGAATTTATGGTGCCCTCGTTGTATGCATGGCTCTCTGTTCATCAGAGCCTGGAGCGGGTGGTGGTGGAAGGAAGAAAGGGAGAGAAATAAGATCCAGCCTGCCTCAGGGACCCCACAGACCCACTGAGAAGACAGGCTTGTGCCCAAGAACACAGTCTGGATACGATTCTTGCTGTGTAGGAAGGTGCCTTTCCAGGGTTGCAAACTCAGTGTGAGAGGGTGTCGGGGCCTGAGGACTGGGTTCTGTGACCCCGTGGCAGGGATGTACC